TGAATCGGATGCTGCTTCACTGATTGTGTTTTGATTTGACTTGGTACCCAAGTTCCCAGCACCGACAAAATTTTCCCTAAAGCCGTCGAGTGGATTTTCACGGCTGTTGCTAAAGTTCTGGTAATTTTGTTGCGCGTAAAAATTTGGAACCATAGAATTAACGGCTACTCCTGATGGCGGTAAAGCACTTTGCACTGTAACGGCTGTGCTGCTCGGCTGTGGTTTTGATAAACCAAGGCTTTGATTTTCAGAATCTTTTCCACCAGGTATCCGGAAGACAAACTGTGTTGTTGTAGGTACGCTGGTGATAAATACACCCGAGTAATTACCAGTTTGATCCGAATTTTCAACGGATCCACTGGTGGTTTCCCAAGCTGGGAACTGTGCTGGCCGCCGAGTTGCTAGGGAAATACTTTGCAACCAGTTTGGTGGGGCCGTTAGGGCGACGATTCTGTCAGGAAGACGACCAGAAGCGATTTTTTGGGAATCAGTTGAAGGGGATTTCCAGTTGTTTGAGAGGTGGATACCAGAAGGCAGATTACCGGAAGTATGTGTGATGCCAAATGCTGCGACATATGCGGGATCTAAAAACAGAAAAGTTAAGAGTACTTGCACGATAAAAACAGATTCTGAGTAACTATAACAAGTGGTCTAAGTAGTCAAAATATGATAACTAATAAAGTGAATTCTAGTAATAAACAGTAACGAATGCAATAAAAAATAGGAAAAGGAGCCCTGAACTGAAATTTTTCTGTTCATTAAATCGCATACATTCCAAATTAGTACGGCAACTAGACTTCGTCAGCATGACGGTTATATTTTTAGTTTCAGTAGGTGGAAATCAAGCAATTAGGTGCATTCGAAAGCTTCGCCAGGGCGTTTGCACTCAGCACAGGGAAAGCGCAATAACAGGCTGCACGTGTAGTGTCAAATTGTAAAACTAAATCCTACGGTTTCTCTGAGATATAAAACTTAGGGAGGTACATGTCTCGTTTAGAGGGTTTTTTTTGCTGTACTAAAAGCTTAAACCGGTCTCCAAACTTTACCTAACCGTAGTAAAAATGACCAGGGAGTTGTTTAAATTTTGATAGCGAGATTTCGAACGTAACCTTGATCCGATTTATCAATGCAGCTCATACGACCCTGCTCGATCCACTTCCTCATTACACATTCTCCGAAGCCTTTGCAGGGCACTGCTCCAGCTACTCCACATAATTTTTCTTCTGCAAAAGATAAGGATTCCTGAAAACTCATGTCCTAGGCGGTTCTGTGACAACGCCCTTGCAGGGAAGTAAAAGGGACGCCGAGCGGACACCAGGCAAGTTCAGATGGGGCTTGATTCAATAGTATTTTAATTTTTGTGTATTAATTTATTATTTTTGGTGTCACAGTTTGTCGCAAGCTTACCAAAAATAGTTGTACAGCCATGTGGGGGAAAAAAGAAGACAAAGCAACCCCCACTTTTCCAAAAAATGTGTGGCTTCAGCTGTATGAACTTTTCTATCGATATTTAAAGTTAAGGGATGAAACACACACTACACCAGGATCAATCACAGATTCATCGCTACTACTCGGAAATTGACACCTATTTAACAGCTGTTTTTTAGTTTTGCTAATAATAATCCATCATTAGGCCTGAAAGGATTTTAATGAGTAAAGTGTCTCATCGATGACAATACCTCGACGAGATGATGAAGCTGAATTCACAGTAATTACATTTCGGACGGCTAAAGTCTTCACAAACGCTTCTGCCAGGAGAACTGTTAAACTGGTAGCCCTTACAAGAGGATGAGGCAAATGACAGTGATAGCACGGAAAAATATTTGGACCCTTTTAAAACCACAGTTTTACAATGAATAACCGTGAGGCTTCGACGACTCGGGATCTTAAGATTTGCTTGCCTTTTTTAACACATAAAATTGGGAAATTAGATAATTTTTAGCTGCTTACTGCTAGCATCACAGAACGTGGGCGACGTCGGCGAATTATCACATTCTGAAAAAATTTTGGTTAACTGAGAAGTGAACGTTTAAACAATCATGCAAAGGAAGAAAATAAAAAGTCTAAAACTGGATAAACAAAATGAGCTGGCTTACTAGGATTAATAAAGCATTGAGGTGCATATTGTGGCGTAACACAGTATGAACCACATTTTACGTAGCCAGGAAAGCAAACTGAAAAGCAATACAATAGACAGATTAAAGAAAGGCCTCTGCTTTCACAAATTCTAATCTTATAGAACAATAAAAAATTTTGAAAGTACGAAGGGCGTTTTCAACAGCTGAAGCTGCGCCGTTTAACGAGTGACCACCTACTTATTGCATTTGATTTGTGCGCTTATTGCATTTGACAGATTTCATTATGTTGAAAAGATTTCAATTTGCTGGCGGTTGTGGCGCAGTACTGTTCTTGTGCAGTAAGTCGAAGGTTCAACTCCGCAATTGAGACAGCTAATCTCTCTAGGAATTCATTCATCCTTTTCGATGGTAAGTTAATACTTGTGTATAGCCAGAAAATCGAACGTCATCTTCCTTCTAAACAACCTCGGGCTGCTTGTTGATGTCTTCGCTTTTCATAGAAAGCGAATATGGGATCAACAAATGGCCCAAAGTACTGATAGACATGACGTGTATTTACATGGATCTGTGTGTGAGTTTGTGTGTGTATGTGTGTGTGTGTATGTGCATGTGTGTGTGTGGATGTAATACCAAAAACGACCGTTCAAACGACCGCTGACAAAGTGATACGCGCATAATGTAGACTGTATGAAATCGTGTTCGAGAACGCATGCGTTTGTTATATATCACAGTTCAGCGCACGTGACTACCCTGTATTTACTACCATGAGCAAAACCTCCTGAGTAAAATTTTGCATGAATAAAAATTTCTTTTACTTGGTGCTTATTGGGTAAATTTTTAGCCGTGAATGAAAAGAGTTGTATGGAATCTACATCTTAGTTTTGCGTAATTATAATCTTTTTTGGGTAATCCGTAGTTTATTTTATGCAGCATTTCCCATGTGTTGCGTGCGGGATTGTTAGCTTTGTGAAATGAACAGCAAAATTTCACCAACATTCATCACTTCCATCCGGGCAATCCACGATCCCATCGTGGAAATGGTGCAGCGGTATGCAGCGCTGAAACTGTTGAAGCTGACTGTGGCCAGCACAGTCAAATTGTTGCCGTTCCGAAGCACCTGAGAAACCAGCAGTGACACAACGACCCGAAACACGCATTGAAAATTCTAGAAATAGCGATGTAAACTGTTTTAGTGGATCGAAACAAACATTTATTGCCTTCCCGGAAGCGCGATCCGTTTTACTTCAAACATTCATTCTGAACGGCTAAGCTGACGAAACATAAAAGCACTAAGATGACCAGTTCAAGGAGAAATGCTTCTGCTTCTAAAAAAATGTGTCAAGTTTCTTCTAGATGGCATGTGGATGTGTTTCAGTAACATTGCAGTATTTCAGCTTTAGACATATACATGCACCTAAGTCAGGATTCAGTCTAGATTACAAACTACCAGACTGGTGCGATCATGTGCTTTGCATTGTCCCATCCTGCAGAAAGATCGCTTGTATCCACTTGAGAATGTCTAAGGTGTTGCGGTTTGAACATTTGAGCGCACTTAGAACCCATGCCCAAGTAGAAGCTCATCTTACGCCTGATGACCCAAACACGAAGAGCAGACATCCGCAAAAAAATATTGCTTCCTGCTCACTCTGGCTACTGGGTTAATTGGATGCCATCAGATTCCGAAAAAATATTCATTTGTGCGCATACGAGACCTAGGGGTGCTTTAAATTGAAAGTGTATGATTCGCACATGGACATAGAATATCTTCGTAAAATTTTAAATGCTTAACTTGACTGGTTGACGAAATCGCGTTTCAATACAAATATCTTTGAAGTGTCCAAATGCTCCTTCCACCAAAGCTTATTTTATGGCTACTTCTCGTGCATGAATAACAGCTATTCTTATGAGATCAGAGCACTCAGCCCAGACTAGTTTTCGCATTTTGCTAACAGTGTCTGGATTTCAACTTTGAACGTGCCCGTAAACATGACGTATGCATGTGTAATAAATAACTTTTAAATGCTTTGCTCACATGTGGACAGAGAATATCCGCGTAAATTTTTATGCTCATGTACTGCCTGGTTCTCAAAATCGTTTTCGCACCAAAAAAGTTAAATGTCTTTTTAAGGCGTCCATATGCGAAATCTCGGTGCGTGTGAACTTTGACTTTAAGCTGCTTGGATTGCACGTGGGCTAGGGCAAAAATCCATATTGTATTTGTGTGTGCTTCAACTATATCGTTTTGTACAACTGCTGCAGCAAAAAAAACATAGGAAGTGCTCATTAACATATATTCCCGAAAGCTGTCG